GGCCCCGCAGGGCTGCCCGGCTCCGGCTTGTGAATGCAGCCCGGTGCGCCGCGCTCCTTGTGAATGGGGGCAGCGTGGAGGATGGGAGGGAGGGAGGGATTTATCGCTGCCCGTTAGCATCTCTCTCCCTCGCTCTGCCCGCTCGCCTTCCCGGAGCTGGAGCTCTTAATGCTTACCTAAGTGGCGTCATCCAGCTGAAATTGAATCGGCCCATTAGCAGTCCCCATAGAGCCCTGGGCATCCGCTCCCCAGATAATGACTGCAACGGAGCCGAGAGCCGCGCCGAGGCTGCGGGATGCAGCAGGCACTATTTAAACGTTTCCGTCTGCGCGGGGCTCCGCTTCCCCCCGCCCTGCGCCCGCCGTGACAGCCGCGCGGCCCCTCGCCCCCGGGGACATCCAGCGTGCCCGGCCGCGCTGCCACCCGCCAGCCCCCGGCCGCCCTTCCGCRGCGCCGGCCCCACGGCCGTCATCCCGTCCTGTCCGTGCGGGTGGGTTCAGGTGGGTCTGTCACCGTGCGCAAGTCGCGGCATGCGGGTTTGGCTGCAAAGTCTAGTATTGACTGTCAGCTCTGTCACCTTGGGCAAATAGCTTCGCGTCCCCGCTGCCTGGTGGGCATAGGCACCTCCTGCCATCTCACACCTCTGTCCTGCTCACCTCTTCGTGGGGGATCTTAGGAAGGGTCTGTGAGACCCTGGATGTCATCTGCATTTTATAATACCCAAAAGTCCAAACTAATATCAGAAACCGTGGGAGTCCCATAGCAGAGGCAAGAAAGGGGCTTTTTTTTTGTGTGGAGCTCACCCATCTGGCAATGCACACACAGGACTAACCCACACCTCCCCATCCTCCAGGAACCTTAGGCTCAAGGCTAGGACAGGAGCTAGACCACCCATCTCCAAGCTTCCCATGCCCAGTGCAATGCTGGAATTGCGCTGTCTCCTGGTGTTGCTTTTCAGAGGAGCTTCTCAGCACTGAGGACCCTTGTGACACCTCCTTAGCCTTGTTTTAAACAGTGTGGAACCTGGATGGATAATGTCAAAGACAAGAGCTCTATCCTGACGCTGGGTGTTGGCTCTGGACACTGCAGGAGTTTCCCCTCTCACCTCACTGCTCACAATCCTTCCAGAGCTGGTCGCCCATTCTTCCCCATAGCATCTGCTGGGTGATCCAAGCACCGTTAGCAGTTGGGGGTGGCCGGGGAGGTGGAGAGCCATCTCTGAGAAGTTAGACTGCAGCCATCAAGCCCTCGACATCCCGGCCAAGCAGCTATCCACCTGGGAACAGCCTGCAGCCCCTTTCTCCTGCACGGCTGAAAGGCGCTGCGGAAAAGCTCCGCGGAGCCCTGCCAACCTGCTGAGCCGCCCRTCGCCTCCTCGGCCGCCCCCGTTTCCATTTCCCCTTCCTCCAGGCGCTCCCCCGGKGCAGGCCGCTGCGCGAGGCCGGCCTTGGCGTGGGCGTTCGCATTCCTGTCATTCGCTGCCGATGCCGTGAGGACCCAGCGCGCCAGGGCAGTGGGGAGCATGCGGGTCTGGGTGCATGAGGGCGGGCGGGGGCAGAAGGGGACTGAATGAGGATGATGGAACCAGCTCTCCTGGCACTGAGCAGTGTGGTCCCACTGAGCTCCGTGGCTCCCTTCATGCTGTTGGCAGATCTGGAGCCCTCTCCAGCAGGGACCAGTGACCCTATTCCCTTCCTGCAGCATATCAGCATGGAAGGAACAACCCAGCTTCTCACCASCTTTGCCCAGCTGAGCCTTTCTAAGCTCTTTTTTAGGTATTTCAACATCTTCAAGAGAGCCCTCCAGAGACGCTTCTCCACCTCCTGCCCAGAAGGGTCTTCTTCCAGAAGAAGATGCTCCTCAGAGTATCCCTCAGCTTAGGTCACAACTCAGAGGCACCAGACTTAACTCAGCACCTCTCTGTGCCTTGACCAGCCCTTCCTCTTCTCCACCCAAATGCACATGGCTTTGAGCTGTCTTCTTCCTAAAGGCACAGAAAGGAGCCAGTTGCCCAGCTCCTCACTGCTGCCAGCTGGCTATGAGCACCTGACTCCCAAAAGCACGCGCGAGTCTTCCCTTTCCCTCAGCCAACATCCATCACTCCCACCTCGCGGTACCGGTGATTCAGACCTCCCTGCACCACTTCGATGCATCCCAATCACAGCCCGTTCTGTGCTCAGCCTGAGGTTGCTTCGCTCCTCATGCTCCGAGGAGGGAGGGCCAAGGAAATGCAGGGACATGGGCACTAGTGTCAGGTGCTACCTGTGACAACCAGCTCAAGTCTGATCCCCACTCCAGTTAACTGCCCTTTTGGATGGGTTTTGCTCCCCTCTCAGTTTGAATCTGACACCCTTTAATCCCTGGAGCATCCTTAGGGTGCTGTCCTCAGACACAGGGACTGCAGCAGCTCCCGGGGGCCCCAATCTTTGCTCTGATTTAGTGGCTTCCTGCATGTCCCCTCCTGTCACAGCTGGCATGCCCAGCATTTGGACAATGGGGGACATTTCTGTGAGGATCCTTTGCTCTTGCTGCTAAGACCAAGTTAAAAACGCTCTGAGAGCCTTCGTYCCCTGTTGCAGATGCCCACCCTGGGAGTGTCCTCGTCCCTATCAATCCCAGCCGCTTACAACCTCCCTTTGCTTTTCCCTTTCTGCTTCTCCCGCAGATCCCAAACATCACAGAAAGGTTGTCTCCCTTCCCCTCCTCAAAAAAGCGCTTTCATAAATGCACACAAACACAAACAAAACAGCTAATTCTGGAGCCTGAAGTCCTTAATTAAAAAATTCCCACTCTAAATATCAAGAGGAGCCTGGCGCTCTTTCCTAGACGCTCTGCCCGTCCACCTCCAGGTCTGAGCATCTCTGATTCTGCCTTCGCAGACAGCCTGACAATTAACCGCTGTGAATCAGTCCGGAAGCAGGCAGCGGAGGGGAGTGTATCCCAGAGCAAGGCTGAAGATGTCTGATCTTTCCTGATGCTATTAGCCAAGCTTGGGCATAGGGGGAGGGAATATTCGCCCTCGCTTGAAGATGATGCAGGAGTGAAAAAAAAAAAAAAGAAAAAGAGAAAAAAAAAGGAGGGGGGATGAAGAGAACATATGATTCCCCTGATTAAATCAGCCAGAATCAATGAGGTGCTGGTGCCTTCTAATTTTTAGATTCACAGATTTTAGGGCCAGAAGGGACCATGATGTTCATCTAGCCTGACAGTCTGTATTATGTAAAAGCCACTTGAAGCCAGACAGTGCCACTAGCTTTTTAGAAGCAACAGCAAGCGCTGGGGAAGTTATTAAAAGGCTGTGATTCTCCCAGGGTGGAAGGGAAGTGCGGCCGGCTCCCACACACACAGGCTTTGGCAAAGAGCAGCCCAGGTACGTCCACCCCATAGGGCACAAGCTGAGCAGACAGCAGCTTTGGAGGAAAGAAAAGACATAATTTCCCATTTATATCATGTCGTTCCTTTGCCTTACAAGCAGGGATAAGCAAGCAGAAGACAAACAAACAAAAACCAGCCCTTTTCTGTGTATTTCCCTTTTKAATCTTCCCTAACATCCCTGGAAATAAATCAGTGTACAAACATGCTGGCCCAAAGACCTCTGCTGCTTTGCTGTGAATAACCCCACTAACGGTGCTGACATCCCTTGCACTGATGCAGCTTCATGGCAGTTGGAGCTGAACCCCATCGGCCATGAGAGGCAGATCCTGAGCTCCGTATTCATCCTGCAGCGTGAGCGTGAAGGTGTAGCCATTGACTGCAATGTGAGTTTTTCTCTGAAGACGGAGCCAGGCAGTATCAGACATCAATAAGGAGCTCAGGATGCGTCCCTTTAATGAGCGGAGATTGTAACACACTGATGGAGTTTGCCAGAAGCTGCCCATTCTGCTTGGAGGAGTAGATCCTGCTGGAAGAAAAAAAGGAATAAAAAAAAAAGAACGTGTTAAGTGGGTCCTGCTGACTCACTGATGCAGATGGCTCCATCGCCGCGCGGACGGCGCGCGATGTCTCAGGGGAGAGCAGCAAGTGCCGGGGCTGGGTGAAGCAGACACGGGAGCCCTGGCAGCACCCAGGGGCTGAGCTGGGCACCCCTCGTGTGTCAGCATGGCCAGGGGCTGCGTGCAGTGGCAGCGGTTTCCCCTCTGTCCGATGGGCATAGCAAGCCCGAAGCTCAAGGGTGTCCTGRTGCTCTTTGGTGCTCAGCACCTTCCCACCACTCCAGCTCACTGGGATACCCTGTTCACCCAGCACCCAGGCCCACTGGGGATCCAAGCTCATGATGACCTCCCAGTGACACTCAGGGCCCTAGTGTGCTCCGCTGTCCCTCAACACCCCTGCAAGCCCATGCAACCTGGTTCCTCTTGCCAGGCCTGACCTAGCATCTTTGGGCCATTAATGCTGCCTCTGTGGGACATGCTCAACCCCTGTTCCTATGACAGTCTCTTTTCCTTGCCCAGGTGGCCATGCTGGTACCACCAGCCCTTTCCCCCTAAGCCCCACATTCCTCTTGATGCCTCTCCATCACCCCAATCTTTTCCAGGAGCAGTCACCGCCTGCCCTTTCAGCACTTTCCAGAGAGCCACCAGATGCACAGGGACAGCTGGATGTCCTCAGCTCTGCACACAATGCGGAGCTGGTCCATCTTCACTTCTTGCAGATCTTCACTTCTTGCTCCTCACCAAGCCCAGAGCAGCGTCGGTCTTCCCAGGCACCTGCTGCTCTCCTGGTGACACCCTTCCCGCTCCAACCCAAGCCGAGTGAAATTCACTCCCCACTTGCCATTTTTCCCCATTTCTTTGCTTGCAGCACTGTGAGTCCCAGTTTCAATGTCACTTTAACTTGGGTGCGTGTGCGTGCAGGGGAGAAAGGCTGGGTATTAAATTGCCAGCATGGTCACATGTTGCCTGAGATTTGGCCGTAGCTAAGCAGCATCGCCCCCGCGCTCGCTTTTTTGGCTGGTAACTCCTCTGCTCGGTGTAAAGCAGAGCTGGGGAAGAATAGGAGAAACTGGAGAGGGGGGAAAAAAAAAAAGAGGCGAGTCATTGTGAATGTCAGGAGCTCCTCAGCTGCCGGTGTGACAACCATCCTCCTCCTCCAAACTCACTCCGGGTGAGAGCCAAAGAGAGAGGATTTCATGAGGATCTGGTAGCGAGCTATTTTCAGAGCTGACATCCTACCCACTGCTAAAAATAGCCGCTCCCCTCCACACAGACCCGGGTTTCTTTTCTGTGGAA